TATACCTCTACATTTCCATGTCTACATTTTTTAGTCTGAGTCTTAGTTTAGACTGAGTCACCTCACCACCACCACCCCATCGCGCACGCATGCGACCGACCTTGAACACTGTGCAAAGGCTGAACGACCTTAAACCTGACACTGAAAAGATGTTTCGTCCGAAACCCATGAATACCATTATCCTCGCTTCATTTTAACGGAAGAAAATTACGAATATTCCCATTAACTGATACCTCACGTCATGATGCTAGACGCGTAAAATTACTGTGGGAGCTCTGAGGTAGATGACGTGTAGTAAGCAGCGCGACCTGCAAACCGGGCACTACGGCCTTTGCTTTAGCACCTGGGCTATCCGGCAGTGCGGTGCAACTCGAACTTTTTCTTCAGGTTCCAAATGGAGTTAAGTGAGGATGAATGTTTCCGGAAATACAATTGAAACGAATAGTTATTCATGTACCTGAGCTTTTTGGTGTCGAAATCATTTAGAACCAGTTAACCTCGGAGATACAATATTTTATTTTTTTACGAAATTTATTTATTCAAATTGATTGATTTACTAAATAATTAGTTGTTAACCTGTCTAATTCCGTCACATAATTCACTCCAATAATTTCCTCCATAAGAATCATGTGGCACCATTTCAACTGTTTTCATACTCCTTCATAACTCAGTTCTCTCATCCAGGTAAGTTCGTTCAGTGTATATCAACGCTGTATAGAAGCCAATAACAAGCAATAACGGTATCAGTAACAAAATAAACTTTGCTTCAGACACTCGCCGAATGTAAACAGAGAATTTGTGGGCGTCGTCGTATGAAAGTCGTGCGTGCGGCGTGTGTTGGCAGGAATTTCATCGACTTCGAGCCGCAGGGCCTCCGGGGCGGCGGCCGCCCGCGGGGCCCGCGCGCTGCACAAGACGCGCTCCAGGGCGAGATCCTGCTTCAGCGCGCCGCGACCTGCCCCGACGCGCGTGAGTAGCCCGCCTTCCAGAGCGCCGCTGGCCAGCACGGCTGTCCTAGCGGGACTAATGTAAAATACACAGTTTCAGCTCCAGTGCGGAATACGGAATACAATGCTCACTCAAGCTGCCACTCAAACGTGACCAAACGTCGGACTCAAACGGGGACTCAAATGGGGACTCAAACGGGGACTCAAACGCGCATTCAAACGTTGACTCAAACGTGGACACATGCGTGAAAACAAACATTGACACAAATGTGAACTCAAACACACACACACAAACGTGAACATAAACTTAAACACAAGCAGGTAATCAATCATGACCACAAAGTAAGCACGGTAGTGGACACAAAATAGACACAAACGTGCCCAAAAGTGAGCTCAAATGTGAATATAAATTTGAACATCGTTGACTCAACAATGAACACAAAAGTGCCCACAAATGGGAGCAAAAATGTGAACATAAATATATACTCAAACGTGTACTTAAACACGGACACATGCGTAGACACAAACAAGGACCCAAACGTGAGCATAAATGTTAACACACAAATGCACAAAAACAACACCAAAGTAGACACAAAAGTGACTCCAAATGTGATCACTAACGTGAGCACGAAAGTTATCACAAATTTGTGTGTATGTGTATAAATATGGACACAAAATGGAACTCGTGATTTCAGAAATAACACTCACATATTAAATTTAACGTCAACTTCATCTCAAGCTTTAAACCAAACTTCAAACCAAACATAAACCTTTACATAAATATAAACGTAAATTTATTAATGGACCTGGCTGGAAAACTACACTTCACTCTAAACTCTGCAGCTTTATGTGTTCTTGGAAATTAGCACATAAATAGGTAGCTTTTAAGACGTACGCAGAGATAATTCTGGCTTTGCGTTGACATCGTGTTTCATCTGTTTATTAATGTATATGCATCTAAGGGGTTACACAAAAGAGTATGCTTTGTCGTGTCATGATTAATAAATGCATTATTATTATTATTATTATTATTATTAATTTTTCTATGCGAAAAATAAGATTGTAGATAATTAGTTACGCTAATAGAGACTAGACAGTATGGTCATTCATTTATTTTTCTTCTCTTATCTTTTATCTTTTTCTCTCTTTCTTCTTATCTTTATTGTCCTGTTTCACTTTCTTGACATTCATTTTCCTTCTTATCCTCATTATTCGTCTTCTATTTCTTTTCTCGTGTTTCTTCTTTTGCGTGTTTTTCTCTTTCTTCTTTTTATCTCTTCCTCTTCCTCGTTTCTGTGTTATTGTGGGTGTCACGCCTAATAATACTGTGGCATGATCGCAGGGGTCACTGCAGCGCAGATCGTGAAATGCATAAATGTTGAGCGGGTTGCGTCATGTAGGGAAAAGTTATAGGAGGCGGGCTAAATTTCCTTTTCCCGATTGGTGAGTGGCAAAGGAATCACCATTATCTCCGAAGATAATAAATATTCACTACAAAATCGGGACTAATGACCTTAGCAGTTGACGTGCCCAGAAATCTGTCAATCAGTCTAGAAGAGAAGAGGTTGAGACGCCATCGGTTGTGTCGCAGTGAGGTGACGTCGGTGAGCCAGGAGGGGCTGTCGGAGGACTCGTACCTGCAGCAGCACCGGCCGGCGGTGGCGGCGTCGCAGGAGCACACGGAGGAGGAGGACGAAGACGAGGAGGAGGACGAGGAAGAGGACGGCGAGGAGAACGAAGAAGAACGTGTGGACGGCGTCGGAGTGGCGGCGTCCGACGCCGAGGTGACGTCAGCGGCGGCGGCAGCGGCGGCGGTAAGCAGGAACGAACATCTTGGCGTTTGTTTCTGAATATACTTGGCTGTCCGGGGGACGCCGCGTTTCCCGAGAATTTAGACATTTTGCCCTGAGGAAGGTCGCAGCATGACGTGCATCTGGCATCTGAGCCTAGGATGTAGAATCTCCCGGACATCCAAGTACACACTGGCTCGGCCGCCAAAGCCTATGCTTTCATTGTTTCAGTATTCATTTAAATGGGAGGCTTGTATTTCTCAAATATCGAAAATATTGAAATGAAATTAGAGATACGTTAATGTTACATTTTTTTACTATTGTCGTCATATTGGGTATATAATCCCTACCTCCCCAATGAAGGTTTTTCAAACCGTGTACTCCTTTCCTTGAAAATTTTATTTTTGATTACACCATTAATCATAATATTCCAGTTCGTTGATGAGTAAGATTTTAGTTACCAATCCTGCATTTACCCCCTCAAATCACTTGCCTTTGCGTATCCCTTTAAAACTCCAAACATGGTTTATTTTGGCTTTATTTCAATGTTTCGTATGTGTTTCTGATCGCATTTGCTTCAGCAATATCGATTAAATGCTTGCAAATTCCTCTCTGTTCTTTCGATGACACTTATCACAGCTCATACTAATCACTGAAGAAGAAATATTGCCATCGTATCTCTAGTTCTCTGATCACTAAGTCATCCTAATCTCCGGTATCATTTTGTTGATAAAGCTTGTGAATGTTTTCTTCCAAAATTGTGGCTTCTTCCGAATGGTATATAAATGTAACTTTAATAATTTTGTGTATTCAGTTTTCATACTTTATTCGGTAACAATATCGTAGCTTTAAATTATCCGACAGTAACGTTTGAAATTTAAAAATGTAGTTTTGAACAATATTTTAAAAAAGAATATGAAGAGGAATGTATCTTTTATTTGTCTAATAATTAGATTTTTGATGTATTAGGCACAGTACAATATACTTAGCGTCACCTACATAAACTCTACTACAGCGGGTTCGCAATAACAAGTAGAACCCAGACCCAATATTCATAGTGCAGAGGAATAATAAAAAAAACCTTCAGGGAAGATCACCATCACAAACCGGAGGAAAAACATGAACTACACTTACGGAACGAATGATCGTAGCAGTTGACGCCCCTAGAATCACTAATTAATAAATCAAAAACAAATACAACTAGTGGTGCAAAAAAACTTACTTTCTCACTCGTATTTTCTCTTTAAATTACGCAAAAATACTCAAATTTTCTAAAATTGTACATAACTTTATTTCAAAATCTATCTTTAAAAGCAGATTTCGTTAAGAAAAAATTTGGATCTTCATAATTATAGTAGTAGGAAAGCGCTGAAAACTGTTTGAACGTTTGCAATTTTCGAAAAATCAGGTTTTTTTATCGAACACGACATCATTCTCTTAAACATAGTTCACTCTATCAAACAACAAAATTTAATAAAAAAACTATAGAGCCAGTTTTTGAAAACTAGGCAAATTTTTCAGTGGCTTCATGTAAAGTACCACCCAAAATTAAAATATCGGATTCAAATCCAAATGGCCATGGCATCAGCCAGAAAGATTGGGGAATATCAATTTTGGAGAAAAAAGATTGAACGGTTTAGCCGCTAGCGTTGTTCATAGACGGAGAGACACACAAACATTCTACCGTTGATTGATTTTTCGCTTTCAAGGACTCACAAAACATGGATTCCGGATTCACCATGCGTTAGAGAATGTTTTTTTCTAATCTTAGCAACAGGATTTATCCACTTTTTCGTCCCGGCAATAAGAATTTTTCTACCGAAAATTCGTCGTTTTTTCACGCAGCTGTACATAATTTTCTCTCTGCAGCGGTAGCGAGAAAGTAAAAATGTGCGTGTGCGGCGCGGTGCGTGGTTTTGCAGGCGGTGGCGGCGGAAGACGAGGAGGCGGAGGGGGAGGAAGGGTTCCTGGACGCGCCCGAGGACGAGTTCCACGAGAACCTCATCTACCGCGGCCTCTTCCGCAAGCGCAGCGTCTCCCTCGAAGACGCCGCCTCCTCCGCCGCCAGCGACGCCGACGCGCCGGCCTTCCAGGTCAGACCACTCGCAGTAAGGAGTGCACAGGCGTACAAAAACAAAAATAAGTTGTCACGCCCAAAGACTTGACTTGTATGTCGACGCGCAAAAAAAACACGGTTAAATTGTAAGTTTTAAATTTCACTGTGATTTAAACAAATGTTCACAGCGATTTAAATAATTCGAAGACGCGCCCACCTTCCAGGTCAGACCACTCGCAGTAAGGAGTACACAGGCGTACAGAAACAAAAATAAGTTGTCGCACCCAAAGACTTAACTTGTAAGGCGACGATCTGCAAGCCAGAATTGCGCCACCCAACTCCAATGTTTTTTTAATCGCAAAAAAAAACACGGTTAAATTGAAAGTTTTAAATTTCACTGCGATTTAAACAGCGTTCTGTGATTTAAACAAATGTTCACCGCGATTTACAGTAAATAATATGAAGGCGCGCCCGCCTTCCAGGTGACACCACTTGCAGTAAGGAGTACACAGGCACACGCAAAAAAATACGTTGTCACAACCAAAGGATGGCACATGTTTCGCTTTGGCACATGTCAACGCGCTGAATCTGAATTCGTATCAAAAATTACGCCAGCTAACTCCAACTTGTTTTTTTTTTAATAGCGAAAAACCACGATTGAATTGTAAGTTTTAAATTTTACTGTGTTTCTCCGCGGTTTAAACAATTCGAAGACGCGTCCGCCTTCCAGGTCAGACCACTTGCAGTAAGGTGTACACAGGCGAACCAAAAAAAATAAGTTGTCACAACCAAAGGATGGCACATGTTTCGCTTTGCCTGTCGACGCGCTGAATGTGAAGCCAGAATACGTGATCTAGACTGTCCGAGTGATGCCGTGTCGAAGGCTGTGTTGCCGACGTTTCGTCCATCTTGTCGTGGACTTCCTCAGGGCTGGTATGCGCATGACCCTGAGGATGACCACGACAAGATGGTCGAAACGTGGCCAACTCAGCCTTAGACGCGGCGTCACCCGGACAGCCCAGATCACGCACATGATTCTGGTCGCGGAAGCCTACGGCTAGTGAAGCCATAATTGCGCCACCACCCCCCAATGTTATTTCTTTAAATCGCGATAAACCACGGTTAAATTGTAAGTTTTAAATTTCACTGTGTTATTTCGCGATTTAAACAATTCGATGGTACAGTTCTGGCTTCAGATTCGGATTCAGCGTGTCGACATACATAGAGAAACATGTGTCAAGCCTTTAGGTCTGACAACTTATTTGTGTGTGCCTAAGTTATAGACGCATCACGTGCGTAAAGGAACATTTAACTTTAATTTGTTCATACAAACGATCCTAAAATAATAAGTTTGCTTACGTCGTGAGCACTTATATTCACAATGCCTAACATAAACGTAAGCAAAAAAAAGTTCTGTTGGCTGTGACACTTTCTGGTTAGATTCGATTCCAAGATATCGACTGTATTTACGTCCCATATGGCATTAGTTTTTCTATCGACTTCGCTCCAATTTCGATTCTCGATTTTGAGTTACCTTTCTGTGATTGGTTCTTTTTATCTCTTACGTAAGAGTAAGCACAGAGCTTGAAGTTGCAACTTTAAGCTAACGTCTTACGTGGGTGATCTGGGCTGTCCGGTGTGACGCGCGTGAGGCTGAGTGACGCGTTTTCGACATCCTGTCGTGGTTTCCTCAGGGCTGTCTGCTCTAGGCGGCTGAGGAAGACCAGAAGGATGTTCGAACGTCGGCACTCAGCCTTCGACGCGGGCGTCACCCGACAGCAGATCACACATGACTCTGGTGGAAGCTACCACTTCATTAACGTCTACGTGTTTATGCTTATTGCGAACGATTGTGAATGAGTCGCTTATGGACGTAGTCTAATTTTGTGTTAACGCATGCTTATGTTTACGTTTGCATTGTGAATGGGCTTTTACGCTTTGCGCTAAAGCTCCTAGTGTGGTATTTCTAACGTCTTTAGTGTCGTATCCGAGTGACTGAGTTGGTCGGTTATCTGATGGTTGCAGGTGGGGGCGACGGGTTCCGTGCCCGGGGCGGCGGTCGCGGGGCGCCGTGGAGACTCGCTCGGCCGCGTCGCCCGAGCTGCGCCCGCCCTCCCGCCGCGCCCAGCACGCCCACGCCCACGCACAAGTTCCCTCGCGAGCGCGCCGCTCACAGGTACCGCTTGGCCGAGCACCGCCCTGCCCCCTTGATCTACTCCTTCACCTCTTCCTCCGGATTCCTCCACTTCTTCTCCTCCAGTTTATTTATTCTTATTTTTCTCCAGTTCATTTTTTCCTTCTTCCTCCGGAGTCCTCCACTTCTACTCCTCCAGCTTCATCATATCCTCCCTCGGCTTCCTCTTTCCCTCAGCTTCAACCTATTCTCCAGCTTCTTATCCTTCTTTTTTTCTTCTTTATTCTCCTTTTCCTCCAGCTCATTTTCCTCTTCTTTTTTACGAATTCGTTTTTTTTCTACTCCTCCAGATTCTTCATCTCCTCCATCAGCTTCCTCTCTTCCTCCTTCAGCTTCTTATTCGTCTTTTCATCTTCTTTATCCTCCTTTTTCTCCAGTTCATTTTTTTCCTTTTTCCTCCGAATTCCTCCTCTTCTACTCCTCCAGCTTCTTAATGTCCTCTCTCGGCTTTCTCTTTTTCTCCTCGAGCTTCTTATCCGTCTCTTCATTTTGTTTATTCTCCTTTTTCTCCAGATAATTTTCTCTTCTTCCTCCGAATCCATTTTCTTCTACTCGACCAGCTTCTTCATTTCCTCCCTCGGCTTCTCCTTTGCCTCCTCCTTATTTTTATTGGCACTCATCTTTCCCTTCTTCCACTTTCAACTTTTCTACCTCCTTGTTCTTCTATTCCTGGTCTCCTCCTTTTTCAGTTTTTTATTTTTCCCTCTATAGCTTCATCTCCTCCTCCCCCTTTTCCTCTTCCTCAATCTCTTTCCCATTAAGATCAGCGAGGGACAACGTTTCAATTTTTTCTCTTTTGTTGTTTTTTTTCTTGTACTCGTTTTGAGCCTCCTTCACTGTGAATATTTCTCCCTACCATTTACTTCGAAACACACGATAGAGGAATAGACTAAAGGTAAGAAAGGTGACAGATGAGTGAAATGCAATTGAGGGAGGTGCTGATACGTGGGAAGAGAATGGTAACGGGAAGAGGATGGGTTGAGGAGGTGTTTGCGGAAGTTGCAGATGAAGAAGATGAGGATGAGGGAGATGAGGGTGAAAAGGAAGCAGAAGAAGAATTAAAATGGGCAGTTGGTGGGAAGGCTTATAAGGGAGAAATGTATAAGAGAGAGTAGTCTGAAGGAGGATATAATGAGGTAGAAGTGAATAAATAAAAAGAGATGAGGTGGATAGGTGGAGGGCAGATTTATAGAGACAGTAGATTTTTAGAGGCGGGGGAAATGCAAATGAAGAAGAGGCTAGTGACAGAGACAGGTATGAAGAAGAAACAGAATGTTAGGTAGCTGACGTGGCAGTTAAAAAAACGGTATTCTTTCGGACTTGGGATAAGGTACAAAGTAAAATCTCGCTCCTATACAAGACAGAGGCCGAGGAGGAGAAGGAAGAGGTGAAGGACGAGGAGAAAGACGCAGCAGATGCTTAGGTGTGTAAGAATGGGGCAGATGAGTAAGATACAATTCAGGGAGATGCTGATGCGTGATAAGTAAATGAGCGAGATGATGAGGTATTAGCAGAAGTGGCAGATGAATCAGATGAGTATGAAATAGATAGATAGGAGAGAGAAGAGAGGAGAAGATGAGGTAGATAACGAGGCAGTCGCAAAACTGGCATTCATTCAGGCTAGAGGTACAATCTTTCCACTCCTCCAATGGTCCCTCTGTTCCCAGGAGGAGCTCGAGGAGATGGACCTGGACGACGAGGAGGAAGAGGAGGTGGAAGAGGCGGAGGACGAGGAGGAAGAAGAGGAGGAGGAGGAGGACGCGGAGGCGGCGCGGGCGGCGGCGGTGGTGGCGGCGCGACGCCTGCGCGAGGTGCCCGACCGCGACGAGGCCGTGGTGCCCTCGGGGCCCGGGCCCTCCGCCACGGTGCCCGTCGCCCTCGCGCGCCGCTCCTCGCCCTTCGCCTCCAGCGACTCGCTCGCCGCCGACGCCCGCGACGCCAGCGACGGCGGCGGCATCTGGAACGAGTCGCAGGCCACGGTAAGACCATTCAGACTCACTGTAGCCATATGGCTACGTCACATTTTTGGTCTGAATATCATTTCAACCAAGAACCGCGATAGGCGGCGGCGTCATCTGGAACGAGTCGCAGGCCACGGTAAGGTCTTTCAGACCCACTGTAGCCATATGGATACGTCACATTTTTGGTCTGAATTTCATTTCAACCAAGAACCGCGATAGGCGGCGGCGTCAACTGGAACGAGTCGCAGGCCACGGTAAGGTCTTTCAGACTCACTGTAGCCATATGACTACGTCACATTTTTGGTCTGAATTTCATTTTAACCAAAAATCGCGATTAGTGGCGGCGTCAATGGGAACGAGTCGCAGGCCAGGGTAAGGTCTTTCAGACCCACTGTAGCCATATGACAACGTCACATTTTTGGACTGAATTTGATTTTAACCAAAAATCGCGATTAGTGGCGGCGTCATCTGGAACGAGTCGCAGGCCACGGTAAGATCATTCAGACTCACTGTAGCCATATGGCTACATCACATTTTGGGTGCACAATATATATATTGTTTCTGTATAAACTAAATTACTTTCTGTAACTCGTTGTGTAGTCATAATCTACGTTTTGTGAGTTCTTG